TTACAGAAAGGAATGATGCAGTCAGATGTGTAAAATGTGTTATAGTGTCTCTTTGCAGAGGAGATCAGCTTAGATATATTAATACTAATGGGGATTCATCTTCTGTTTATGCAGTTTTCATCTGGATATATGCAAAATTGGCCTTGCTTCTACTTCTCATTTAAACCTTCGCAAATTCAAATCTCACATAAACTGACAGGCTCACTTTACAGAAGCCATCAAAGATCCAGGCATACTTCCACTATGATGTCCTTCTCTTCAGTCCTCCTCACACTGGTTATATTCTGTTCTTGTTAGTTTCTTTTTCCATATCATTCTTTGTGACACTCCAACAAAGCTGTGTTCCTCAGCCATGGCTGTGATGTCCTAACCCTCCCCCAATTCTGTTGTTTCTTTTCTGTATAGGTGGCCTCTCTCAGAAAATTCTGACCCGGGTCAAATCCAGGGGTGAAGGCACCAGGAGAAGCTCATAAACTGACGTGCTGTCACTGGATTCAACATTCACATCTATGGGATGGATTGGGTCAGACAGAAACCTGGTGAAAGACTGGAATGGAGAGTTTACCATCACACGTCTAGTAGAAACTCTTATTCTCCCACAATCCAAGGAAGGTTCACTAGCTATAAAGACAGTTCCAACTTCTATCTGCAAATGAACAGCCTAAAAGTAGAGGACACAGCCATTTATTACTATGCTGGGGTAAGTACAATGAAAGGAATCCTATGAGGTTACATACAAAATCTCTTCCTTGCATTAATAAAGTTTGCCTGAAAGGGTCTCCAGAGAACCACTCAATGATTGCTTCACATTTGGAAGTGAATCACCAAAAGTTAGTGGAAGAGTTAATAAAAAACAATAATCAAGAACAAATAGTGCACATTTAATGTGGTTGAACAGTGTTTACTTATCGACCTCTGATTAGCCTGCTGTGGTTTTGCCATCTTAATACAAGATGTCATTTCAAATTGTGTTCATGTCTCCCATCATGTTTCCACCTGTGCTTTCATCTGATTTAATCTATCTTTGAATTTTTTCCTTCCTCTTTCCCCAATCTATGGAAAAGTTTAATATAACTATTTAATTGCCTTCCAATCAATCTTGTCTGCCAATGACTTCAGTCCTGGATGGAGATCATGAAAATTCCAGAGTTGTACTCTATATTGCCCACATTGAAAAACTTCTCACTGGAAGAGAATGGCAAGCCACTTAGTATTGCCTAAAAACCTGCATGAATGTGTCTATGTAATTAAAGTCTGGTGGAGATTTCTAGGTGCCGTGATTCAGTAAGACATCAAAATGAATTGGTAGTCTTTCTAAATTCAGGGCTTAGAATTCTTAGTGACTATGTAAAAAGGAGCTACCTAGATTAAGATAGAGAATATAAGCCCAAGCATCCATATCTTGGATCCTAAGGGAACACATTCTAAAATACATTACACTACAAATAAATAAGAAATGGAGGACCAATCTTATCTCCCAATGACTTCAATCTTGAATGGGGACCAGGAGATTTCTAGAGTTGTATTCTACATTGCCTATGTGAAAAACATCTAAGGGGAATAGAATGGCAATCCACTTCCTCAGTATTGCCAAATAACCTGCAGGATTGTGTTTCTGCACTCATTGAAGAGTTAAAGTCAGCTGTAAATTTCTGTGTGCAGTTATTCAGTGAAGACCTGAAATGAAATGGTGGTTTTTTTCGATATGTGTTTAGCATTAGAAATCTTAGTGATTATGTAAAAAGAAGCTAGCTAGTTTAAAAGAACATACTATAAGTCCAAGCATCCATCTCTTGGATTCTAAAGGAACACATTGTAAAACACATTACACTACAATTAAATAAGAAATGAAGCACCAAGTACAATTTATACAAAAAAAATGATCTGGATGGATATGTGAAAATATTGCAATGCTTCCATTTGCAGAAGAGATTAGTGAATATAGTGCAAGACATGCTAATATTCATCTCATATTTATACAGTTTCTAACATGATTTATGCAAACTCGACATCACTTTCACTTCTCATTTAAACTGTCAAAGTTCCCCATCACAAACAGACAGACAGATTCACCTCACAGAAGCCCTCAGAGGAAAAGACGTTTCTCCACTATGCCACCCTTCCTTCCAGTTCTCCTCATATTGGCTGACTTTTCTTCCCGTGTGTTCATTTTGCCATTTTATTCTATTATTTTTATTCCTTCATTGAAGTGAAGTTTCACTCCTTAACAATGGCTGTGATGTCCTAACTCATCCAATTCTGTCCTTTCTTCTGTTTAGGAGGCTTCTCCCAGGTAGTCCTGACCCAGTCAGATCCAGTGCTGAAGGCACCAGGAGAAGCTCACAAACTGACTTGCGCTGTCACTGGATTTAATGTTAACAGCTACTGGATGGGTTGGGTCAGACAGAAACCTGGCCAAGGATTGGAGTGGCTTGTTCACTATTATGATTCTAACAAGTATTATTCGCCAACAATACAAGGGCGCTTTACTGCCTCCAAGGACAGTTCCAACTTCTATTTGCAAATGAACAATCTCAAAACTGAAGGCACGGCTGTGTATTACTGTGCAAGAGACACAGTGACAGGATTCCTAGGAGATCTCATGCAAAAACTCTTCCTTGAATGACTGAAATATCTTGAAACAGGATGCCAAAGAACAATCTAATGATTTGTCCAGCCTATGAAACAAAATCAGTCAGCCAGAGAGGAGTGAGATAAATAGGCCAAAGAAAAAATGAGAAACAGAGAGATTATTCACCCATACTTTATACAGTTGAACAAATTTTGCTTATGATGTTCCACCTCATAAGCAAAAGTTGTGGACTGTTGTGGTTTTCAGCAGGATTTTACTTCTTCAGATGCAAAACAACATTATAATACATATTGCTTTTCCTCTTCATGCTTTCATCTAAAGTACACATGTGTTTTCTTTCATGTGAAGTGTTATCACTCATTCAACATTTGGAGTTATGGGATCTTTTGTTTCTCACCATTTCCCATGTACCAAGTTGTATTTCTCAAAATTGTGATACACTATTATCAATTATATACCCAAATATATGTAATTGTGAAATCTTATTTCCTTATTATAAAACATAAAAGAATTCTCACTGTAACTATTCATTTAGGACAAATGTTTGCTTTCAATGCTCAGTTTTGTCCTATTAGTGGTTGAACATTTCCTTACTTTTTTCCGCACAAAGATATTTTTTCCCCTCACTATGTTTCCATTCAGGCAGAAATACCATAGATAGGTGGAGGGAAGGTTATTGCTTTTTATTGTTTTTATATTGGGCTTTTTTCCTTGTAAGCTGCATACAATTACTGAGCTGGGCGGCAATATAAATTTAATTAATTTAATAAATAAATATCAGCCAAATATTCTGCACACTGTGGTAACTGAGTGTGGATGGGGAAAACGAAATATAGAGGGCACATACTGGGGAAGACAAATGGAAATTGCATATTCTTCTGCCGAGATCCAGTTTCCAGTAATGAAAATTCATGCATCCACACTGTATTTAATACTCTATGTGGATAAAAGAAGAGGAGGAAAAACAGTAATGGAAGCAGGTGTTTAAAAAAAGTGTGAAATAAAAGAAAGCAATATAAGAGTAGAAAATTGAGTTGGAAGGCAAGAAGGTGGGAAGGAAGGATAGAAGGAAGAGAGGAAGGGTGGGAGGGAAGGAAGGATTAGAAGAGATATTAAGAGAAGTTAGAAGAAGTAATAAATTTATTACATTTTAAACTTAAAATCAACCCAGAAGAGGCCACTGAGAAGCACTGAATACATTGGATTGGAGTGGGAATAAAATATTACCATCCAAACAGCAGAATACTCCATACTTTGGAAAAGTAATAGAACAGGTGAATCAAGAACAGTTAATTGTTTTCTCCTATTTATTAAAGATATAGATTGATTCAAGAACATATTCCTTCTAGTTCCTTAGGCATCTTCCTCTGAATATTGGCATGGTCCTGCCTATAAGGATTTGATCTTCCTTCACAGAATATTTATGTCTTTGAAAGATAGGCGAGCTTTACAATTTCTCTCACTTTCAAATAAGTATATAAAATATATCCTGTTCATAAGGGGATGATAATGTTCTTCGTGGATAAATTCCTCACGTGTGACTGTATCAGACCCTCACCTGCTTTCCCAGGCCAATAAAACAAAACAGGGTCAGATGTTATTTCTTCTGGAATGGAGGCTTCCAAGGAAACCAGAGTTGTATCCTATATTGTGAGATCAAAATGGAGCTACAGTGTAATGAGAAGCTGAAAAACACCTAAAGAGAAGGGAATGTCAAGCCACTTCCTAAGTATTGCCTAATAACTTGTGGGATTGTGTCTATGCAATTATTGAAGTCAGCTGCAGATTTCTGGTGCAGTAATTCACTAAAACCTTGAAATAAATATAGGGTTTTTCAGATATGTTTTTAGGATATACATCTTGTTGACTATGTAAAAAGAAAATAGCTTGTTTAAGGTAGAGAACATACTGTAAGCCCAAGCATCCATATCTTAGATCCTAAAGTAATCTATTCTAAAATACATTTACAATTACATAAGATATGAAACACCAAGTATAATTTACACAAGAAAATAATCTGGACGGATATGTGAAAATAGTGCAATGATTTCCATTTGCTGAAGAGATTAGTGTACACAGTTCGAGACACCCTGATATTCATTTCATATTTATACAATTTCTAACGGGATTTATGCAAACTCAACATCACTTTCACTTCTCATTTAAACCCTCCAAGCTCCCCATCACAAACAAACAGATTCAACTCACAGAAGCTCTCAGAGAAATAGACATTCCTGCACTATGCCGCCCTTCCTTCCAGTTCTCCTCACATTGGCTGTCTTTTCTTCCCGTGCGTTCATTTTCTCATTTTATTCTATTTTATTCCTTCACTGAAGTGAAATTGCAATTCTTAAACATGGCTGTGATGTCTGAACTCTCATCCATTTCTGTTCTTTCTTCTGTTTAGGAGGCTTCTCCCAGGTAGTCCTGACCCAGTCAGATCCAGTGCTGAAGAAACCAGGAGAATCCCAAAAACTGACTTGTGCTGTCACTGGATTTAATGTTAACAGCTACTGGATGGGTTGGGTCAGACAGAAAGCTGGACAAGGATTGGAGTGGCTTCTTCTCTATTATGATGAGAGTAATAGCAAGTATTATGCACCAACAATCCAAGGGCGTTTTTCTGCCTCCAAGGATAGTTCCAACTTCTTTCTGCAAATGAACAACCTCAAAGCTGAAGACACGGCTGTGTATTATTGTGCAAGATACACAGTGAAAGGAATCCTAGGAGATCTCATGCAAAAACTCCTCCTGAGACTTGCTGAGACAGAGAGATTATTCACCCATACTTATTATGGTTGAACAACTTTTGCTTCTTTAGGCTCCATCTGGACTGCTGTGGTTTTCAGCAGGATTTTTCTTCTTCAGATGCAAAACAACATTACAATACATGTTCCCTTTCCTCTTCATGCTTACATCAAAATTACACAGGTGTCTTCTTACATGTGAAGTGATATCACACATCATACAGTTGTAGCTATGAAATCTTTTGTTGCTCACCATTCCCACATACCAAATTGTATTTCTCAAAATTGTGATGCACAATTATGAATTATAGTCAAAGTTTTATGATCATAAGATCTAGATTTGTTTATTATAAAACATGAATGAATTCTCATTGTAACCATTCATTTAGTACAGATCTTTTCTTTCATTTCTGAGTTTTGTCCCATTAGTGGTTGAACGCCTCCCTACTTTCTTTTCACAATTATCTTTTTTTCCTAAGTTCTCATCCATGCAGAAATACCATAGAAAGGTGGAGGGAAGGTTATTGCTTTTTTCTTGTTTTATACTGGGTTTCTAGCCTTGCAAGTGCCTAGAATCACTGAGAGTGAGTTAGGTGGTCATATAAATGTAATTAAATAAATAAAAATAAAATAGATTTGATCATCAGCAAAATATTCTGCATGTTATGGTAACTGAGAGTTGATGGGTAAAATAAAACAGAGGAGGAACATATTGGAAATAGTATTTTTTTTCCAGAGATTAAGTTGCCAGTATTGAAAATTCATGCTTCCACATTGTACCTACTATTCTATGTTAATGAAAGAAGAGGAGGAAAGAGAATAATAAAAGCAGGTGTAAGAAAAAGAGAAATGTATAAAGGAAATATAAGAGTGGAAGATAGAACTGGAAGGAAGGAAGGGAGGAAGGAAGGAAATGAAAGAAAGGAAGGGAGGAATGGAAGGAAGGATGGAGAGTATGAGGATTAAAAGACAAAATAAGAGAAGCCAGAAAAAGTAATAAAGCTATTAATATTTTAAAGTGAAAATCAACCCAGAAGAGGCAGTTGAGAACCACAGAATATATTGGATGGTAATTTCAGTGAAACCTGCAAATAGCTAAGAGAATAGTCCATATTTTGGAAAAGGAATACGACAGATAAATCAAGACAGTTAAAAATTTATCTTATTTATTAAAGGTATAGACTGGTTCAAGAAAATTTCCCTTCGAGTTCCTTAAGCATCTTCCTTTGAATTGTAGGAAGTTAGCACCCACCCCTCTCCTTGAAAAATGAAATATCCTAGGAAATATTAGGTAGAATATTTTCCGTAAAAGGGAAGTAGAAACTCAGAGAGGCAGAAGCTCACACACAGACACAAGCATACCCCCTTTGTTAATGGGTGGGCCATTAAGGCCTGGCCCAGAGTATTCTACATAACAAAGGCCCCTACCCATCTCACCACCTTGTCTGGGAAGACTACATCAGCCAGCACTCAGGTGAAGCAATGTGGTCCAGCTAAGACCCCCACCCCTGGGAATTTGACAACCAATGGGATACATTTCTTACACAGGAACACGAAACACTAAAGTGGAGACCAACGGAGGGTATATAACTAAGGTTATCTCAGCATCTTGTCCCTTCTTTTCCTTCACCCAACATCTTGAAGCATGTGATCATCCTTTTCACTTTGGTTCTCCAAGCCGTGTGGTCCTGTCCACCATTAAACCATCTTTCCAAACAATCTCCTTGTTTCCAGTGGCTTTTTTCCCCATTTGGAACTGAACCCAGAATGATATTTCTTCCAACAATATGATGGCAGTGTCCTGATACGGTCCTACTCCTAAGAACTTGATCTTTCTTCTCATAATATTCATGTCTTTAAAGATATTTTAAGGAAAGTCAGCTTTACAATTTCACTCTTAAATAAGGATATAAAAATATATCCTGTTCATAAGGAGATTGTTGAGGTATTCCCTGTTAGGAAAATGAGTGCACTCAGGGAAACATAGTGAGAGTAATGTTGAATAACACACAAGCAACATACAGATACACTGAATAGTAAAATGTAGGTTTTACTTCCAGTATACGGTTAAGTAAAGTCCAACAAACAGTCCAAGTCATACATGGTTATAGCAGTCAGTTTTCAGCCCAGGGATAATCCAATAACAAAGTCCAGTATCAAAAACAGTTCAGTAATAGACTCACATCAATCCAAGAACCACGACGATCAGCAACAGTCAATAGGGAAATATTCAGGAAACAGCGAACATCAGAACATCGACCAACTAGCAACTGTCAACAACTATCTTCCGGTTTGAGCCTCTTCACGGACAGACCGAACCCGCAATCATGCGTGGTTTTGTTCCGTGCTCACCACTGGAGCGCCCCGAGCAGGCTGGTTTTGGGGCTAAGCCACCCTGTAGAGGTGGTGAAGAGGGGGGAGACTGCCAGCAGGGTTGAGTGGAGCTGCATCTCTCCTCCTCAGCTGGCCATTACTCCCTTTCCTGAAGGCGGTTGCAGTGGTGGTCAGAAATGGCCACCTCAAAGAAAAACTCAACCAGAAAATAATGTGCAGGAGGAAGATAAGAAGAGAAAGTTTTGGATGACCGGGTTAAACTGCAAAAGCAACAACTAAGGTATCCTGGAATTTAAACTAAAAAAAAGTAACATTGCCCCCAAAGAAGACTTTGAAGCAGCCAAGGAGAGAGAAAAGGGAAAGGATTTGTTTTTTTCTTCTTCTCTCCCTTTCCCTATACTGACAGCTAAGAGATTGAAATAAGATATTGAAAAAAAAATCCACTTTGACATCAATAGGAATTTAAGCTGGAAATAAAATGTCAAAGGAATAATAAAGATTTCTGGATACTTAAAAGTTTTTAAAAGCAGGAAAGGCGAGAAAAAGAATAAAAGGGCAGGATCTGGAAAAAAAGGGAGGAGACTGCCTGGAATTAAAAGGAATTTACAGTAAAACCTCAACAAGACTTCTAAAAGATACATTTGAACTGAAACTTGGCAACAAAATAGTAGAACCCCAGGAAGAGAAAGTGGAGAAAGAAGCATGAAGAAACAGCTTGGGAGTATTTGGATTATTTAGTGATCTCTGGATTTTTGGTTATTGCATTTGAATGACTAAAATCAATCGGGTGGTTGTTTAAAAGTGTTTAAAATGGCACTACTTTTAGAAGAACTGAAAATAGAAAGTACAAAGAAGATGCACAAGAAGAGATTGTCCTAACCCTACCCCAATTCTGTTGTTTCTTTTCTGTGTAGATGGCCTCTCTCAGAAAATCCTGACCCAGTGAGATTCAGGGCTGAAGAAAACAGGAGAAGCTCATAAACTGACTTGTGCTGTCACTGGATTTAACATCCACACCTATGGGATGGATTGGGTCAGACTGAAACCCGGTGAAAGACTGGAATGGATAGCTTACCATCACACATCTAGTAGCAACTCTTACTCTCCCACAATCCAAGGAAGGTTTACTAGCTACAAAGACAGTTCCAACTTCTATCTGCAAATGGACAGCCTAAGAGTAGAGGACACAGCCATATATTACTGTGCTGGGGAAAGCACAATGAAAGGAATCCTATGAGGTTGCATGCAAAATATCTTCCCTGCATTAATAAAATGTGCCTAAAGGGGTCTCCAGAGAACCACTCAATGATTGCTTCACATTTGGAAGTGACTCACCAAAAGTTAGAGAAAGAGTTAATTAAAAAAGAACAATCAAGAACAAAAAATGCACATTTAATGCGGTTGAAAAGTGTTTACTTACTGACCTCCGATTAGCCTGCTGTGGTTTTGCCTTCCTAACGCAAGATGTCATATCAAATTGTGTTCATGTCTGCAGTCATGCTTATATCTGTGCTTTTATCTGATCTAATCTCCCCCCTCCTTCCCCAATCTATGGAAAACTTTAATTATAACTATTTCATTATGTACCTTCCCATCAATCTGGTCTGCCAATGACTTCAATCCTGGATGGAGACCATGAAAATTCCAGAGTTGTACTCTATATTGCCCATCTTGAAAAACTTCTCAGTGGAAGGAATGGCAAGCCACTTAGTATTGCCTAAAAACCTGCATGATTGTGCCTATGCAATTAAAGTCTGGCAGCTATTTGGGTAGGGGGGGATGATGGCATTTACAACCTCCTCCCTTTCGCATTTGTACTGGGGCATGTGAGAGATGGCATCAGGCAGAAAGTTTCTTTTCCCCGGGATGTGTTTTAGCACAAAGTCAAATCGGTTGAAGTATGACGCCCAACGGGTTTGTTTGGATGATAGTTTTCGTGGGGTTCTAAGGCTTTCCAGATTTTTATGGTCAGTCTAAGCTTCGAATTGCTTCTGCCCCCCTTCTAGCAGGTGACACCAGGTTTGTAGTCCCCATCTTATCACGAAAGCCTCTGAATCAGCACTGATTCTTTTGCAAACAGTTCTTTTAGCTTTTCAAATGCTTTTTGGAAGGTTAGGTCCCACTGTAGGGGTTGTCCTGGGTGGGGTTTCATTCATGGATTCCCTGGACACCCTGTCTTTAGGAGGTCCATTATGGGTTTGCCAATCCTCATGAAGGAGGGAATGAATTGCTGGTAGAAGTGGTTCAATAAGATCTCAAAATAATTTGGTAGTCTTTCTAAATTCAGGGCTTAGACTCTCGGTGATTATGTAAAAAGGAGCTACATAGTTTAAGATAGAGAACATAAGTCCAAGCATCCATATCTTGGATCTTAAGGGAACACATTCTAAAATACATGACATTATAAATAAATAAGAAATGGAGCACCAATTTTGTCTCCCAATGACTTCAATCTTGGATGGAGATAATGAGAATTCTAGAGTTGTACTATATATTGCCAAGCTGTTGTGGTTCGCCGGCAGCTGGTGCAGTTGACTGAGGTCTCAGAGAGTGAGGACTCAGTTGAGGGTTCTGCATGTGATGTAGGGATGGGGCCAGGACTATCGGGAAGAGGAGTGCTGCTGTTGGAGATTGTGGAGACTGGCAGCAGTGATGCAGAGGACTCTGAGGAGCCTGTGCCCAGTGCATGTGTGCACAGGGCTGCTCATAGGAAAGAGCATC